GAAACAAATGGAAAGATACACATTTTTACTTATTAATTTTTATTGTTTTCTTTAGTGTCTCTTTTATGTCTTATTTGAATATTAAATTGTTAGTGATGGAATTAGAATAGCAGAAAGTTGATCTCCACTATCCGACCGTCCATTCTTGTCATGGTTAACTCCTAACCTCGGGCCAGGTCATGACAAAAGTGGCATCAAAACAGAGGTTTAGATTAAATAACATGAATCAAAATAAAAGAGCCAATTGGATTATTGGATTAAGTAATAAAAAAATATAAATTAAAAATTTTAATTGAGTTTAATTAAATTATATGGTTGTTTTTTTCAGAATTATGGACGATCCGAAGGAAGATGTTACTGATGAGAATGCAGAATTTGTTGTACCCCGGAATGTCACGGTCAGTGCAAGTGTTTTCTCTGATATGATGAATGTTGTGACTCAGTTGATTAAGAATTATCAATCTTAAGCTAGTATTAGTGGAGGACCACTAATGGATAAGTATTTGAAGCTCTTTCAAGATATGAGACCACCTTTATTTTCTAGAGCAGGAGGGCTAGTGAAAGTAGAATATTGGCTATTGAGAGTGGAGAAAATCATAAATGACATGTTTTGTCCATCGGAGAGAAGAGTCAACCTAGCCACTTTTGCCTTTGAGGGGGAAGCTAAAAGATGGTGGCAAGGTCAGATGCAAGAGAAGTTTGAAGGTAGAATTAGCCAATTGATGTAGTGGAACGAGTTAGTGAAAATCTTCATAGATTGGTTTGTACCACTATCAACTAAAAGAGAAATGCAAAATAAATTCATTAGATTGGTGCAAGGAGATCAATCAATTATGCAATATGAAGCGGAGTTTACTATGTTATCAAGGTATGCACCCAGTTGATTCCTAATATAGAGGAGAAATGCCACAGATATCTTTCTTAACTGAAAGATTCAATCAAGCAGCCACTAGTGCCACTTGGGATTAAAGACTATTCAGTACTAGTAGAGAGAGCTAGGTCGGTAGAGATTGATTTCCAGCAGACTCAGAAGCATAGAGACATGCACAAGAAGAGTTTGGCAGAACCGACACCAACAGTTCATTCGAGAGAAGGAGAGTCTAATGGGAAGAAGATGAATTCCTTCACTGGTGGAGTTACTGGCCAGGCTGGCAGTAGCACTATACAACCTTGTTTTAAGTGTGGCAAGCAGCATCGTGGTGAATATTTACTTGGGTTGAATGTGTATGAAAACAACTTGAACATCATAGAAGAAATTATCCTAATTTTATTCAGATATCCACATCAAACGTTCATTCAAAAGGGATCCAGTTCAAAGAAATTTTTAATAAGGATGACAGAAGCTGATATTGTGACTCATAAGGAGTAACCAAAACAGAACGTTCATCTAAGAGTTTATTCCTTAACCCATCAGGAGCCACATGAGCATGTTGTCACTGATGCTTATGGATAGAGTTTGATATATTTTCATTATCACTTAACAAGGAACATAATTTTGTAATCATTTTTGTTTCATCTTCTTATTTGTGGAGCTCAGAATTTCGATCACAGATTTTTACAAGAATGATTTTTAAATATTTGATAAAATTTTGGCAACATATAATGTAACCAAATTTTTGCATCCATTGAATTTCAATCGAAAGAATTTTATTAAATTCTACACAAAAAATCAAGCAATGTGAAATAAATCACTATATGTAAATTATAAACGGATTGAAAAATACAAAATTTGAAAGTTAGAAATTTTATTAAATTAATTGACCTAATTAATCCTTAATTAACTTTCACTAATCTTCTGTTACTGTTCACAATCGACCAATTACACCTCATTTATTTCCTTCGTTCAGCCGAAGGAGCTCCGATCTTCAAATGTTCTCGATTTCTTCTTATGCTTATGTTCCCTCCTCTCTCTCTCTCTCTCTCTCTCTCTCTCTATTTCGTTCACTGTTCCTTTATTGCACTATAGAACCACGCTAGGGAAAGCTGCCCCTTGCTACAATGCAAGGACTGCGATCGAACCGAGCGGCTCCTGGGAAGGCTACAACTCAGGATTTACGGCTCCATGGTGAAACCTTAAGGTGTGAATCTCTTTTTCACGATATGTGAAACTTTAGTTTGCTTCTTCACCCTTCTTAACTGAAGTTTGCCTTGTTTTTCATGTTTTTCATGTTTTTCTCATTTCTGGTAGCCATCGAAGGCGTCGATTGTGTGTCGAAAGCGTTAAAATTCTTTTGTGAGCTTCCATAAAGGTTCTAACACGACATCAGCGTACGAAACGTGTAATTGGAGGTGATAGAAAGTAAATTTGGTAGCTTTCAAGAACGGTTGATCGCCAAGAAAATCGTTTAAAGTATGTTTCAACAAATTAATAAAATTTTGTGCTAAATTACCTAATCAACTAATATATTATGAATTACTAATTCGTTTAGGATTCCATATTATTTACCTAAGACGACAAGTTCGGGATAAGCGTGTAGAAATCGTTGTAGAACGACACTTAAAATTTTAGATAATATAATCATATGCTAATTTAAAAAGAAAATTTTAATTTTTAAAATGAAATTTTAAATTTTAGGCGAGTAATTACATTTTAAATTTCAGTAATCATCTTTATATTTCAAAAAATATATTGATTTATATGTATGCTTTAGTACGGTTAGATTTATATTGCTAGATAGAAAAGTTATGTATGAATGAAAAGCTCTAAAAGATGTGCATGCATGAAAGATTTGCATGAAATGAATGATATTTAGATTAACATTATAGTATGATACACATACAAGATAGACATGTAGGAAATATATGCATGAGATAGATATATGAATATATGAAAAATATTCATGATGAATAGTTGCACATGAAAGTAAAAAATGCATGCTAGTAGGTGCATAAAAATATTTCAGAATGATGTATGTATAGAGAATAAAATAGTTTATATATGAATGCTTGTATGTGCATATTCAGAGGAGGATTTCACCCCCTACTGATGTAAGAATTGGACGTCAGAGTACCCGCACGCGTAGAGTTTTTCTGCCACCCCAAACAATTGTGATAGTTTACTAACCGCTAGCCGACAGGTTTATATCGGTCAGAGGCAAGCAGACCAGAGTTTACCTCCCCAAATAATTATGATATTTATATTGCTAACCGCTATGCTGACAGGATAATATCGGTCAAGGACAGGTAAGGGTCTTTCCACCCTGGAAATTGCGATGTGTAGAACACTAACTTTTTGTGTCGATGTGAGCCGACGGGACAATATCAGAAGGGTGTGTAAGGTTGTTGACGATGATCCTCACAGAGACAAAAATATATGTATACAATAAAATAAAAGTAAATTTACGATAAATGCATATAAGAAATTTGAGTATGTTCATTTAGAAAAAGTTATTGATACATACGTTAGTATATATCAAATTGCATATAAAATTATGAAATGCTAACATAGTATAAGATTTATTATAGACTTTCATGCATATTGAATTTTTTTCTTGGATTACTGTATTTTAGAATTCTGATTACTCATGGGTTATCTATTTATACTTGTAAATATCTCTCCAAAACTTTCATATGATATTCTCCCATCTTTCTAGTATCATCTTGAAATAATTTCCCATCACCTGTAGTCCTACAAAAATTCTAAAGCTCTCTCGAAATTATCATTCACAACTAGGGTGCTCTTGACCTAATTTTGGACCTCAATCCTCCATCGCCCTTAAATTACCCTAGATCTACATTATCTACTCCAAATCTGATCTCCATGCATTCCCCTAATATTTCTCTGTCATTCCAGCTAGTCCATATACGTTTAGGAATCTTCACTAACATAATATTTCAGAATCAGCCAAATTTGTTCAAGTCAGGTCGCCTTAATCTCATCTCGAAATTTCCACATTTCTTTACCTCTAACCCGCATAGAATTTCACCAAATACTCAAGATCACATTTAAGGACATTAACTTGATATTCCCAAACGGTTCCATGCTTGGATCCTCCATAATAAATCGTAAATCAAAATCACCATGATGATATCTAGGTTTGACGATAACCTCACCCTTTTGTTGGGCCCTTTCTTTCAACCATCACCTCAAATAATATTACTCTTATCACAGGGTTCTCCAAAATCCTTAGACTCCGAATACAATAAATGAAACCCTTGAATTAGCCCCATTGCCCTCACTTCTAAAATAGAAATTCATAAAACTCTTTCTAAGCCCAAACAATACATCCATAGCTTTAGCTATCGAACTCCTCACACCATCATTTTGATTGGTAACTACCTGAAACAATGCCAGCAAGCCAAGACGAACTTTTCATGACTTCAGGACCTATTCAAATACAGAAAATCTAGGACAAGGAAGCAAATTACATCATAATAATATTAAAACAAAATCGTACCTAGGCAATTAGACACGTGTACAGCGTCGTGCATATGCAAGGATAAAAACCAACATTTCAACATGCAGAGTTTTGCACCATAATGTCAATCAGATTAGCAAAAAATGCAAGATAACTCTAAATTAATACACTTCAAGTCAAATTTCCACTAAGTTGTTTATCACCGGTTCATTTACATGCATAGCACACAATGCTTATGTATTTACATATATCACCCCTAAACATTTATATTTAAAAGGAAAAAACAAAAAGATTTAATATCAAAACAAAATGACACTATTATCACTTTTTAAATTGAAATATTAAAACAACAGAGTTTTATGTTAGTAAATATGAAAAGTTTAGGTGTGAGATATGCAAATACATAATATTTGTGTGCTTGGTATGTAAATTTCCCATCAAAATAGAATATGGCCTTCTCGCTGGTTAAACCCTACAAGCATCTAGCAATCTATAACAGTCTTAAGAACTGCTAATCAACACAAACTACAAAGAAAGGGCACACGAATCCCTTCTATAAACCAATCTGCAGCGATATAGCAAACAAGCGACATAACAAACAAGAATTCATCGAGGGAATCAAATGACGGGTAAGACATGTACCTCTCTGCAGATAGCAGACAATCAACGATGAAGGCTAAAGGAGAAGAGGAGACAATATTGTCAGATTCAAAAAAACCCTAATCTAGATGTGTGGGATAAAGCATGGGGTTGTCTCTTCTCGATAAAAAAAAATCGGCAGCGAACTTTTCTTCGATTGTTCGGAAGCTTCCCGCAAACGAGTGGTGGGAGTTCGTTCGCCTGAAGAATTTGTTGCTTCTGCGGAACACAGACAATATATTTTTCCGTCTCTAGTATGGCTAGAAATTAAATATGACGAATGTATCAAGTGAGAACTTAGGTCGGCTGTAAACAAACCTAATATAATGAATTGAGTTTCTGTTCGTATTTGATTCATTTGAAATTATATGTGTTTGAAATAAACTCGTATTTGAAATTGTTCGTGAACTTACTGTTCGTGTTCGATTTAATTTGTTTGAAATATGTTTGAAATATTTGAAATGTTCGAATTCTTTAAATTGTTGGAATTATTTGAATTGTTTGAAATCTTATAAATTTGTTTTTATTGTTTGAATTGTTCGAAATCTTTCAAAGACTTAAATCTATATGAAATTAATGCTTAAATCTGAATGAATTACAACACAAATGCCAAATAATCAAAACACAACTCACAATAAATTCATAATATCTTATCGCATCCATAAAAAATTCAGATCTAGAGGCAATATGCGAGATTCACTCCCAAAAACTATGTTTCACTCGAAGAAACTAATTAAATCTAATAGAAATACAAGAAAATTTAAGCTAAGAGACGAATCTGACGATAAATATGAAATCATATAATTTAATATAAGCTAAGAGACGCATAAAAATATCAAATTATAGTCTAACAGATTTAATTTTTTAAAATATGATAAATTTTTAAAGTATATAATTATTTTTACAATATGATATTTTTTTATATAGAATTATGTTAAATTATTTTATTTTTCGAACAATAACAATCCGAACACGATCCAACAAATGACTGTTCGTATTTTGTTCGTTTATAAACCGAACGAAAAAAAATTATTTATGTTCGACTTATTTACTTATCGAACGAATTGAACACAAACTTTCTGACAAACTGAACAGAAAGTGTTTGCGAACAAGAAGCTTTTTGACAGCCCTATGGCCGCATGGTTGAATTAATAATGAATGGTCCGCCATGCCAGTTACAGTTACAGACGGGTGGGATTAGAGTTACGAATCATATGGTATAAAATGTGAGATTTCACTTGTAATTGCCGCTAGAAAATGAACCGGGTGTATGATCGTTTAAAGCTCATCTAAGTTATTAAAATTTAATAAATCTCGTGTTTCTTGATTTACTCGATTCTGAATGACATAAATTTAAAAAATTATTTGACAACAGATTTATAAAATACTATAAATCCAATTAAATAATTTGACAAATTCTGTTAAATCCCAGTAGCTTTTTCAATAAATCCCATAAATCTCATAAATCCATTGATTGGTGGGATCTAGTAAATTCGAGATTTATAGCCAAAATCCTTTAATTCGGATTTATCAAATAGGTGGCTTTATTTTGTTTAAAACGACCGTCTAGCAAGATTTAGCCTACAGCCAGGATAAATCTCGGGCTAATTCCGTTGCCAGACAGCCCCTCATAGCTTTGGGCTTGCCACGCGATTTATGGAAAAACGAGGCTCGATGAAGGGAAGATTGTCAAAGTACAGCGATAAAATTAAAATAATAATAATGATGAAAATTGAAAATATTATCATTAAGAAATTGTATTATAAGTATTTTTAAAATTAGTAGTATAAATATTAATACATTTTAAAAATGGTTTAAAAATTAAAGCAAATAGGTATCAATAATATTATTCGGAAATAATTAAAATTAAATTTTCATTTACATTTGTGAAATAATGATACTTTATTAAAAAATGAGTAATTCAAAAGAAAATTTGATATTTAGTTAAAAAAAAATATTTTTTTGTACAATATTATTGAGGATTTTTTATTTTAAGAAAATATTTTGGATATAAAAGTTGATATATTATTTTTATAATTGTTTTACAAAATTTATAAGAGAAGTTCACCACAATTTTAAAATAAAATTTGAATTATTATTTTTATTACTGATTTATAAATATTAATATGAATTTTATATTATTCATAAGATGAAATTTTGTTTTGTCAAATGTTTTATATTATTCATAAGGTATGGCTCCAAATTCAACATTCATTTCATTGGACTAATCTTTAGATTAATGGATCAAGCTCATCATGATTATATATAAACTTAATTATAGAATTAAACGAATCAATATTTACCTAGAACTTGCAAAAATTATAAAAAATTAGACTGAATAGAAAAATCATCAAATATGGCCCATGGAATCCTATTAGTAGAAAGAACATTGAAAAAATCAATTTTATTTTCAAAAATAACTTGTGGAGTTTCTTAATTAAAATAACTCAATAAATCATAAAAGATCCACTTGAGCACAACATAATCTCAATTTTCTTATAGAAAGTATGAGATGATATTTTAAGAAATTTTGTCAATTTTCATTAAATTTTTAGGTCATTGGGATTTTTAAAAAGTTATGGAATGAAAAATAATAATACATAATTAATAAAAAATTCTTAAAAAATTAATAAAATTTCAAAGTTTTATAAAATTCTCTAGAAGTTACTTTTTATTTCAAGAAAAAAAAAATCTATAGAGCCATGAGATCATTTGAACCCATAATAAAAATGAAAATATAAAGTAAGACGCATAATCCAAATAACCCTTAAAGTTTAGATTAACTGAAATTTAAAATTCAAAAAAATCACTTTTGTGTTCTAGCAAGTGTTATGAAACATCATTTTTCTTTTTAATCTGAGTGCCTTGCAATGCCTAGAGTATTTAAATTATAAATTAGCTTCTAGGGAAAATTTGTATATTTTATCTGTAGTCTTTAAAATCAAAAATTGAATTGAAATCATAAAATTCTAAAAGTTAAATAATATGCTTAAAATATTAATAATTGTGCTTAAACAACATAATGATGATTTTAAACCCCTAACAAATTAAAACTCAAACCATAAAACCTTGTTCAAACTCATCACACAACCTAGCACACATATTATACATATTTTTAGGGCACTGACCCTAGATTATGGGATAGAATTATTTATCTTATTTGATGTGATTTAGTGTGCTTTTCTGATGCTTTGTAACATCTTGTTGTGATTTGTTATGTTTTGGGATGGTTGTAATGGGACATAAAATACTTGAGATACATTTTTTTTGTACTAACTCTATTTTACAAGTGTTATCGTAAGCCTAGGTGTAAAAAGAGATTTACTTTTTTGTTATTGTGTTGTTACATAGAGTTTAGTTGAGTCTATTTTTTAGGCCTGTAGGTATTAGAAGAAGATCATAAACCTGAAAAAAATAAGGATGAAATAAAATGAACCAAAATGTACGAAAGTAAATAAATAGTGATGAGTGAGGATGAATCAAGATGAACCCTTAATGTCAAGCAATTCCATGTGGAACTTTATGTTGTACTTAAACCTAAGAAGAGGAGCTAAGGACCCCACAAGTCTGGTATGCCTTGTATTTTTGTGTCAAGTTGTCTCAAAAGCAGAGCTTGGTTATCATTTTCTTTTCAAAAGTTCTAGTGTGTATTACAAAAATGAAATATAAATTAAGGTGATTATATTATCACAGTAGGAGTTCAAACCTAGTTTAACAATATTCAATAGACGTGTATCCATCAATCCTACCCAAGTCTAAAATAATTCTAATTCTGTTGGATTTACAATCTTGCCTAGAAAGACAACTAACAAAACCCACTTACTCATCTCAAAGCCATGAAGTTCGGTCTAATGAATGCAAGATAAGTGACAATATTTATTAACTGAAGTGAAAATTAGGAATTATAACTCAACTATTAGAATCACACCACCTAGCTATGAGTGGTATGTAAAGCTCCTAGTTAGTGCAACATTTTATAATTTATAATCTTTATGATTAATTTCAATTTAGAAGGCTAAGTGTATGCAGTTAATACGTGCATATATGGATTGAAATTTAAAGTTTGGATTGAAATTAAAATTTTAAGGATAATTAGAATTTAAACATACATAATTTCACAAGAAGGGTTGTTTACCTCACTTTTTGTCAACAACTTCTTTACCAAAACAACCACCCATCCTCCCATGGGAAGACATTCCATGTTGGCAAGGTTTATGAGTATGAAACAAGCCAAAAAGCCACTAAAAATTAGCTTTTGTTAGCATAACCACGTGCCATCTGGCATGACTATGCCACCTAGGGTGTAATTTCCATGTCAAAAAATATGCTACTTTTATATACACATTTAATGTCTATTTTTAGTGATATTGTGTTTTAATGGAAGGTATTTCTATGCTTTTGTTGCAGGTACACCAGGTTGTGACAATTGGAGCTAAAAAATGTAAAAAAGGAAGGAATTTGGAGTAAAAACGATGCCCTCTGTAAAAGCTAACCTGACACCTAGGCATTAGGATCTGTCACGTAAGCGACAGTTTACAGAAAGAGTGGTGCCTAGGCACCACAGTTAAGCGCCTAGGCGCCAAATCTGGTTTCTTCCCGAATTCATTGATTTTGGAAAATTTTTGAAGGGGTACTGACATGACCTACAATTACACAGATATTTATGTTCTTTAATATGTTAAAAGCTTGACCCAAATTATATTTAGTGGCTAGTGAGAACAAATGTAATATGATAAAAATTAAAGAATTAGCTTTCTCACTAGGGGTACTACGCAAGTATACGCATCGTTTCAAGTAATATAGGATTTTCTATAATAACCTCAATATCGATCCCATAGGGAAAACGCAAACGAAAAATAATGAAAATGAAATTCAGGAATTTTAGCCTTAAGAAAACTTTACTTAAGGCTGTAGTAAATATCTAAAGAAGTAATGATGAAATTTAAGTTTACTAAATTCTACTAATGTAAGTAAAAAGAAAATGTAATGATTTATAAACTGCATAAAAGGAGACTTTATTCCTGCAAAATAATTCATAATCAATATAAAATTTTAAATTTTTAGAAGCTTAAATATGGTATTGTGACAAATAGGAGCATACTTATTCTTTACTTCTTTCAATTATGTAAAGAACATTGACTAATCTAAAGTTGGTTTCGACATGTATAGTAGTGTTGGGTAGGTTATAGCCTCTCACTCCTAGTTTACCCACTGTGCCCTCTGTATAGGATGTATAGTAGTGTTGGGTAGGTTCTAGCCTCTCACTCCTAGTTTACCCACTGTGCCTTCTG